AAAAAAAAAAAGGCCAACCGGTGATTCTGTGAGTCGTGACTATCCATACCATAATTGAGATTGCAGCTTTCCTCCTGCCTTGGAATGTCATCAAAGTGCCGCTGGTTGTGTCCACTGTGTGTGTAATTACAGATATGCTTTATAATTTTCATGAATAAATGAAGGATTTGCAAAGCGTGGTGTCTGCAAGTAGTTTGCGGCCAGCAGGTGACGGTGGCGCCACCTTTTGAGCACGGATTGCCAACCAGCGGGAGACCATCAGGTGGGCACCGGGAAATGATCCAACTCCACTTAATTGGTCTAAAAATGATGTGTGGCTTTCATCATTCCTGCCGGCATACCGGCTTTGAGTGGGCCACGTTTCACATTGGGTGAGAACATTTGAGGTCATCATGTTTGCTTGCTCTTGTGCTCTAAGATGTTTCCAATGTAAAATACGTGCCTTGGAAAACAGGCTTCGAGGATGCCGTGCAAATGAAGCGTCATGGTGCCTGCTCAGATTTACTCCTTTCATTTCATCCTCGATGGGCGGGCGGCCACTCCAGAGACTCGAGTGCTTGTGTCCAAACCTTTAAAAGTCCCATTTCAAAGCGGGAACCATCTTAAGGCTAGTGGATGAGTCATGACCGACTACTGAATCTGAAATGTTTACTTTGTCCATCGTTTCCACACAACCTGATTGTCAGAAATAGCTTGCATTTATTTGAAGAAGATGCACGCCATGCGTTAGTTGTTGCTATGGGTTATTGTTACATCCTTTCCTCACTACACGTTGTTTTCTTGCCATTCACAGCGGGGCTGAGAAGGCGACGAAGAAACAGGCCTTGCCAAATTGTCGAGAGAATTTGGAAACCACGTGCGGGCCAGTCGCGATGTGATTCTCAACATTAGCGCAACAAGTGCATTTCCATGTGAATTTGAACTGGATGCGGGTCAAGCACAACCCGAGTGGGAACATGAAATCTTGCAGGTAAAAAATAAATACACAAACAGCCTCGGGGAAGCTGCGCTCACGCCCGTTTCATTACTCCCAGCGTGTCTGGCAATTGGTGACAGAAAGCAGGGCAAGAAAGTCGGCTCCTCTTTTGCGCCGGTTCATTTGATCAATCCAAACATGGATGTGACCGAAAATCTGGATCACTCAAATGACTCCCCGCGACGACAATGACGTGGGGCATCCGTCGCACTAAAGATGGGGGCATCCAGACGCCTGCAACCATCCTCCTCTCTCTCGCTCACACACGCACGCGCGCGCGCACACACTCACACACACACACGGGTAAAAAATAAATAAATAGCGTGTGCCATACGAATGCGCTGGGGGGGGGACAATCACATGGAGGGCGTGTAACCTCCACCCGGTCAAGGCGTAGGGCGGCATGCTGCACTAAAAAGACGCACATTTACCTTTCTGACGATTAGAAGGAGGTGGCTTGCCTCTTTTCACCTGGGGGGGGGGGGGGAGTGACTGCCGCCACATTTTTCGAAAAGGAATGTAAGGAGTGAGTTCCGCGCGCAGGTACAGTGTGACGACCAAGAGCACGGCACGGAAAGTTTCCAGGCTACGCTCCGCTGCATTTATCTGTAAGTGTGCTCTTTTCTTTTCTTCTTTTTTCCCCCCTGTAAACGCCCCCGCGGGCATGTGACATCGATCTGACATCAATTTGATGTTGATGTCACATTGATGCTCGATTGACATCAGATGCCCAGTGGGGATTAACTTGAAACAAAATGTCACTCACACTCTTTTGCTTCATCCGCGGTCACGTAATTACAGTGACTACCTCGAGTCTAAGTTCCATGAGAGAAGAGAGATGCTCATAGTGTGTCAGTGCATGTCGAACGAACAGCTTCTCAAATCAAGATTGAAGAACATGCAGTCATGTAGTTGCTTTATGAATAGAATCACCTCCGGTGAAAGTGAAGGACTCATTCTAAAATGTCATGAAGTTGCCTCTTGAAAATGACGCAATGGCGTGTTCATGTCTGGAAGTAAATACTTCAAATTTGTGCTTTCCCCTTGTTCTCAGTCACAATGGCTACAACAGGAGACATGATGGCATTGATTTGTCTGCTCCTTGTCAAACTGCCCATGGTTAGTTTGTTTCCCCTCTTTTTTTGTGTGTGTGTGTGTGTGTGTGAGATGTCAAAAAGTGAGTGTTTATTTTTTTTTTAATTGGGATGAGTGCTAATAATAGCAGATTTAATTGGCTGGCCAATTAATCGGTTGGTTCCTTGTGTAAATTGGAATAAGTGGTCAGAATCAAATTGGAGATATCTCAAACTGGAGTTACAGACACCTGCAATTTATTTGCCAATATCCATAATTTGCATATTGCAAATCTTTGAAATGAATATTGTGGATTGGGAGGCGATTAGAAGACCGGAAGAGTATATACTTGAGAATGCTAAGAGTGCTTTCCGCGACACGCCGTCTCCTGTCACTCGGAATTACGCGTGGATGGATGAGTCAAGCATGAAATGTTGGAATCAAGATGCAGCGAGTCCTACCTGTTGGTGGTGATGGCGGACGGGGCTGTTTGTTATAATTACAGATTGACACGGCCAGCGGGAAGGTGTTAGAGGAAACGTTTCACAAGTGGGTGCAGTATAAGGATGACTGTATCAGGATGATTGAAAATGAGCCGCCGCCTCAAGGTACGGAAACCTCTGGCATATCTTGCAATCAGAGACCATATTGAGCGAGGCAAATGTCACTCGCTGTGATTCACACACACACACGAAAAAGAAAACAACTCTGAATAGAGCGCAAATGAAGCTTCTCTCTCACCCTTTTGCCTTTTGCAGATGGCTTGTTTTGCAACCGAACGTTTGATAGATACGCCTGCTGGCCAGATACTCCTGCTGGCGCTCTCGTCAACATCTCCTGTCCTTTCTACCTGCCCTGGTATGATCAAGGTAAAACAGTCTGAAATATTTGTTTGTGCAAAGGCTGAAACAATTCATCGATCGGGTCATGTCTTGGTATTTATTTTTAAATGGTACCACAACTGGAGAAACGCTGAGCATCAATATCTGAGATGCATACTGGCATTTCATGACAGGGTTGTTGTTTTTTTTTTCCTTCCCGGTACTCTCGTCTGCCCGTGGCACTAACCTGGAGTCAAATCTGCTCGGCTGCTGCTCATTAACAACATGCAGTAAATCAACAATAAGTGTCAGGAAGCAAACTCCCCCTTTTTCTGTTTTTTTTTTTTTTTTCATCCAGTGTCACACGGCGTGGTGCTCCGGCGGTGCGGCACAGACGGCCTTTGGGGGCACGACGAGAGCGGCCACGTGTGGAGGGATAAGTCCCAGTGTGAAGAGGAAGAAGAGGTCACATATCAGGAGGTAGGATGCCCAAATGAGCCTCGATCGCCCAGGTGAGGTGGTGCCTTGAGATGGAAGTTGAAGAAAGTCCCAGGACCACGCTCTCGAAACATTCGTATCTCCAGGGCCGGGGCTACAGTACGTGGGGGGCGGGGGCAGAGGTGGCCATTAACTGAGAGAACAAAATTTGAATTAGGCGTGCTGGAGCCTGACCCAGCTGTCATCGGGCAGTAGACGGGGGACACCTTGAACTGCAATGGAGTCTGTCTCCCAATTTTTATTGGGGCTAAGTCATTTTGGCACGCCCCGCATGCCGCTCTGCTCACTCGGATTTGTGCGCATGTCTTTCAGATGTGGCTCAAAAAGATGATGGTGAGCTTCAGGACGTTGTACACGGTGGGCTATTCCCTGTCCCTCCTCACTCTCGTTACCGCTCTCGTCATTCTGCTGAGCTTGAGGTAAACAACCAAACGCATTTCCAGACACGGCCTTAATGTTTGCTCTTTATTTATGGATAGTGTATGGAGACTACTTTACAGCGAGTAGACTTAGGAGTCCTTCTCTGATCCCGGCACTAGATTGCTTCGTATTCTTGGAAACTTGAACATCTTTGTTTTTCTTGTGATACAGCCGGCACTTAAGACCGAAGAGCATTGAGAGCAGCGCGTCATAATCATAGCCTGAGTTGTTTTCAGGCTTAGTGGTTACCCATTTTCTGCCCAAAATTGGACAGCATTGCACGTCTTTGTCGGCGGATAATTATTTTGTAGATTATGGCGGATGACTGCGAAAAATGGGCTTTGTTTGTTCTTGGAAAGGAAACTGCATTGCACACGGAACTACATCCACGCCAACCTCTTCCTGTCCTTCATCCTGCGAGCCGCGTCCGTCATTGTTAAGGACACCATGCTGGAGCGCCACTGGGGACGCGAGATCATGAAACCGGCCGACGTGAGCGAGATGCTCGGCCATCAGGTGCGTTTGGCGTCTCGTCGTGGCCGTAAGGGTCACGTTTGAAGGGGGGTTCAGATTCGATGTGTCAAATGGCGGGCGGCTTGAAACTGAAACCGTCCACGCCGTGATTGTGTGTGTTTTATTTTGGGATAGTGTTGAAACAGCACTGAGAACTGTCTGCCTGCCCACCACGTTTCAAGAATTTCCCGGCGCATCCTGAAAAATGAGTATGACTTTGGACCGGAATGTTCCGTGATATGTGGCTTTCTGTGTCCCCAGGCTGCTATTGGCTGCAGGATAGCGCAGGTTCTGATGCAGTACTGTGTGCTCGCCAACCACTACTGGTTCTTTGGAGAGGCCATTTATTTGTACTCTGTGCTGATTGCGTCGGTGTTGATCGACAGTCACAAATACTTGCTGTACATTTGTCTCGGCTGGGGTAAGCTTAAGAGAGGCTGATTACTTTGTCGACGATATAATGATTTAATCAGAGACTAGCAAATGCAGGCCCTGGCAATGCAATGAGCACATTCATTGCTCGTGCATTCATTCTTGAAGTGCTGTGCTTCAGATCGTTCCGCATGCTGTCGTTGTCTTAGGAACCCCTCTTCTCTTTGTGATTCCCTGGGTAGTGATGAAGATCCTGAAAGAAAACAAAGAGTGAGTGTGTCCGGTAGGCCGCTTTGAACCCTCGTGATCCCAAAGAGAGCGGATGGGAATAATCCTTCTTTCCTCCCAGATGTTGGGCTGTCAATGAGAACATGAACTACTGGTGGATCATTCGTTCGCCCATTCTTTTTGCTTCGCTCGTAAGTATGATATTTGGGACACACCGACCCTCGTGTCGCGCAAAAGTCAAAGTGGTGTTTTTTTGCGCACAAACTACAGATCAACTTTCTGATATTCGTGAAGATTCTGAAGGTGATTCTAGCCAAACTACGAGCCAACAACCAGAGTGACTATTCCGGTTACAAATGTCGGCAAGTCGCCACGCATTCAATTCGCGTAAACTGAAGATAACACGGAAAATGAACCTCATGCTGAGTTTGAATTGAGCTGCTGTTGGTTTTGCTAGGCTGGCCAAGGCGACGCTGACGCTGATGCCCCTCTTTGGCATTCACGAGGTCATCTTCATCTTTGTGACGGATGAGCAAACCACAGGGGCTCTGCGCTACCTGAAAGTTTTCTTCTCGCTGTTTCTAAATTCCTTTCAGGTGGGCTGAACACGATCACCGCGGCTGCTTGTTACTTGATCAATATACCTGTCCACACAGTGTTAGCGTCAAACAGTGCATTTCTTAATTAGCGGTCATTTTGCAGGGTTTTCTGGTGGCGGTTCTCTACTGCTATGCAAACAAAGAGGTTAGTTTTTTTTCATTACTGCCCATTTATTTTACAAATATATATATATATATATATTTTTTAGCCCATATATAGTAGTCACATTCCAGTATTTCAAATGAGACTTGTTTGTACTTGTTAATGTCTAAAAAACATCCAGACTTTCCATCTTGCGGCGACCTAATGCAGCCCAGCTCCTGAAGAGTGAGGGAAGAGGCGATGTTTCATGGCATTTCTCAGACAGTTCAAGTGTTTAAGAAAGTGAATTGGTTTGTTCACAAACAACATATATTTCCGTGAAAAGCAGCACCACTTTCTTTGACTTTTGTGAACAGGTGAGAACAGAGTTGAAGAGGAAACTGCGCAGCTGGACGACAGAAACGCGACTTGTGTGCTGTGGACAGTGACTAGCCGGTGGTGAAACCCACACTTTTTCAATTGCCACAGTGCCAGAGCATAACAGGTCCTTGGGCATCACAGGGAGGCCGATGGCTGATGCCTCGCCCACCCCCGACAGTTCTCTGCTTTTTCAACGTCAGATTCAGGGAGCTGACCAGTGTGACGAGGCCTCACCGCTCCAGTTTCCAGCAGCGATAACGGGCAACGCCATCCTGCAGCGTGCAGATGGCGACGACACTCTGGCGATGTCATCAGCAGGGATGCATGTGTCATTCCAAATTCATTTTCAAGACCCCGTGGAGTTACTTCCACATGTTGTTGATATCGAGTCGGACTGAACACTGGATTTATTGTTCATTTGAAATTACAGGTACAGTGTGATATCTTTTTTTTTTTTTTTTTTTTGTG